TCCGTCAGTTGATAAGCTGGTGTCAGGTGGACATGTCAATACAGGATCTTCGTTATCTGCTGTCTCTTATACACATCTAGATGTGTATAAGAGACAGGCTCAGTACTGTCAAGCTGTGGTTTAGGGTGCTGGCTTACAGTTTATTCAAATTTGCGAAGTCAGAGTGCATTTGCCTTGTGTTTCGAAATTGTTTATAAGTACACAATACTTATCAACACATCGTTAATCAGGGATTCAATATGACACTGTGTGTAAACAATTGATAACATTTACTGGTGATTTGTTAGGTACAAAAACGTAGGCTAAAAATTTCCAAATTGTCATTTTTGTACTTTTTGAAAAACGTACACACTCTTTCAACCCACTCTCCTCCAGCATACGTTTTGTACGTTGTGAAAATGATGAAAATAATTGATGACCCCTAAATATAACTAACCTGTAACCATTACTGTAAATGTGCAACTACCAGTATTTCCTGAAGAATCAGTAGCTGTATACGTTACATTGGTTGGTCCTATCACAAATTGAGCTGGAAATGATGTTGTAGTCGTTGAAACAAGAGTTTCCCCTGAGTTGTCAGTTACTGTAACATCCGAAGCATTATATGTGATAATAGCTGTAGACATTCTTTCGTCAGTTGGTAAGCTGGTGTCAGGGGGACATGTCAATACAGGACCTTCGCTATCTGTAGAGTACATTAGATTTACATAATAAATAATTGTTTGTTGGAAAGCCTACAAAGTATCACTTGTAGAGTATTTTTGCTTAAGCATAAGTTTATATGGAGTAAGTCCATGTATAGATAACAAAATATAACTAACCTTCAACCATTACTGTAAACGTGCAACTACCGGTATTTCCGGAGGAATCAGTGGCTGTATACGTTATATTATTTGATCCTACCACAAATTGAGCTGGAAATGATGTTGTGGTAGTTGGAACAAGAGTTTCCCCTGAGTTGTCAGTTACTGTAACATCCGAAGCATTATATGTGACAGTAGCTGTCGACATTCCTCCGTCAGTTGATAAGCTG